TATATATATATATATATATATATATATATATATATAGAGCCTTAAAAATCAATATTGGTCGGGCCCTCGTTGGCATGCACCCAAAGGCTAATCCCTGTGATTGGCTGGCAACCACTCCAGGGTGTACCCCATGTTTGAACCAAAGTCAAGTGGGCTGTAGCGAGCTGGCCAATCGGAGGATTGAGGACAAGCAAACGTTATAGAAAATAGACTACTAGATAAAAGCTAGCCACCATGTGGCCTTTTTGGCAGTCCGTGGATGACAATGTGAACATAATTAATTAATGTGCCGTGTTTTCCATTGCTTCCGAAATAAACACAAACAACAGCGGTAAAGGAACAACAAACATTTGCTCACACTGACAAAAGGCCCCGCAAGCTAATGAGCTTGTTAACGACGTGCTGAGGTCGCATTGAAAAAAAAAAAAACAAAAGACGAGGAACTTCATCTGCCTCATGTTTAGAGCGGTTTGAATTATTCATAGAGCTACCGAGGAATGCTAAGCTTTTTGACAAAAGCGAGCGTTGATTGTTTCCGATATGAATTCTCTTGTTTTGCTTGGCGGCATGTTTAAAGTAATCACCTCAGATGCATTACGGGTATTTTGTGCTTGTTGTGTTGCTGATGATAGCCTCATTGCACATTTATGTCAGTGTAAGCGCATAACAATGTGGCCAAGCTGCAGCAATTGGGAATTACATTGTTAATGACAATGGCAAATATTGTAGGTGGAAACAAATACTTTTGTGTGAGACACCTGTTCCGCATTTATGATGCTTGGCTGTGAAACAGTGATTCTCGAAGTGTGGTTAGCAGATTCTCTCTTGTGGTATGCAAAAGAATCACCGAGTTAAACAAATGAAATTAACCTTGAAAACATGCAACACAACAAAACAGAATGAAGCTTGTGGTCAGGCATACAGCATGTGTAAACATTTTTTTTTTAACTTTTCAAGTACATTTCTTTCAGTGCAATTCATTTGTGTTTAACTTTTACATCCAGCACATTTGTATTTAATCTTTACGAACAACTTTTTAACACTTGAGCACACATATGCAACCTCAATAAATTCGAATTTATCATAAGTTTGTGTGTGTGTGTGTGTGTGTGTGTGTGTGTGTGTGTGTGTGTGTGTGTGTGTGTGTGTGTGTGTGTGTGTGTGTGTGTGTGTGTGTGCGCGTGTGCATGTGCGTGGGTGTACACTTGTAGATGAGTTGAAGACTCTTTAACTTCCGCCAACAACCCAGGTTAAACTTACCTCCTCCCATAATGCAAAGATCTTAGTTTCAAAGAGATGTATTCAATCTTACTTGAACATACAGCACTTCCTTGGCACCAATTACGACTTTCCCATTTAGTGCTCCATCACATGACATCTTGGGGTATTATAGGAATGTTTAGTAAATAGTTGAGGGGGAAAAAAAGTGAAATGGAGAATTCAGGGAAAAGTGACCTGCCAATCGGTGTGTATTTACTATATATTTTGGAGAGAAAAAAATTGGGGGTAAGAAGCCAAACATTTTTGAGAATGATAGTTGTATGTTCATGAGGAACGCATCTGTTTTGAGATGTTGGTTCTGTCTTATAGAAATGAGCCACTGCTCAACCTAACCCCTCAACTGGAAGCAAATTCTAAAAAAAAAATAATAATAAAGTTGTATATTAAAATAGAATTGTCGAGTTGTTGAGAGAGAAAAGAAAGATGTATATTTGGGAAGTACAAATTACATTTCAGTGAAAAAAATACTATTTCAAGACAGAAGCCATATTGAGTGGGGGGAAAAAAATATATATTTAAAATCGTTTCTCATGCAAATGAAGCACTGCTCACCCCGCCCCCTCGACTGAAATTAATTGTACAGTTTTTGTGTTGGAAAAAGATGTATATTTAATGAATAACTTCAATTTCTGAGAAAAAAAACCCTGACGATTTCAAGAAAGAAGTTGCATATTCTTGAGCTGAAAAAAAAGTCTTTTTAGTCTTGTCTCATTTCTCAGGCAGTGAACAAAATATCAACTTGGTTGTTCAATTTCACACTTGATGGGTGTCAGCTACTCCCCGAGGCAAAACTATTTGTATACCGGCCATTTAAAAAGTCACCTTTCCATAACCCGGCCCTGACTTTTGTAAGATTCAACTGGCTGCCTTTGTCTTTGCTTCAAACAGGACTTTGGCGACGACGGCTCCTTGTACTTCACCAAGATTAGCCCCACCCACATGGGCAATTACACCTGCCACGCCGACGGCTACGAGAAACTCTTCCAGACGCACGCTCTCCACGTGGATGGTAAGAGGCCTCCTGCGTCAAGTTGACTTTTTGTTCTTGGGCTTTTGAATCAATTAGGCGTCACGTGTAGCAGATGGCCCATTCATCATTCTGGCCAACTCAAAGACGGATTTTGAGCTCCGACTGAGCGCTTTGGCAAGGATATGCTGGTAGTCTCGCGACATTTATGGTGGGAATCTACAAGGTATTTACACAAAGAGAAAGCTTTCCGATGGGAATCCCAAACATCTGCTGCCGTTGTAAATTCCGCCCTCTAGTTCTGTCACAAAAGAAAAAAAGAATTAATGCTTTACCGATGTAGCTTTTCCCAGGATGTTCTTTTGATTAAAAGCGAGTCTCTGAACACGGGCGCTGACAGGATGCGTGAAAACTAATAAAGCACCTACATTATAAAACGCACAAGTAGGCGACCATTTTACTTTTTTTTTTTTTTGTTTTAACACAGTGTTAACTAATACTGAAAATAAGAAAAAAGTCATTGCCGAGACATGCCACAAGACGGTGGCAAATTACATTCGACAACAAGGATAAGGCCGAATAAATGAAGCTCCTCCATCTCTTGTTTCTTGGCCTCACCTGTTTTCTGCATCTGAGCCATGATTGGTTGTTACCTGAGCCCTGAGCAATTGTGATGTCATTTAAAATCAATGGCAAGTAGCAAAATGGCCACCCCTTGAGATGGACAAAAACAGGTGGATTTTACTGCTCCGCTCATATTCCACAATCGCAATGTGAATCAAAATGTTGTGTTTAGAGTAGTAGGGCTGCATCAAACTTATATCCACTCATAATCAAGCAAGGGAGGGTCTAAGTAAAAAGCAACTTCATTAGCTTAGCTTAATTTACGAGAAAATGTCATTGTCTTTGTTGTTACTTTGCTTTTCCAATCAGAATGATCAATTGGCACAAATGGCCTTGACCACTCCACAGCTCCGCCCCTGATTGGGCCTATTGGCGACAGCTTATTCACTTCCAATCATTTCTGACTGGGATTTTGTTTGAAGTTCGAAGAAGCGATGGTGTTCCATTTTGGAGCTTCCAGTGGTCACTTTAGGAAGCGAAACATCCCACTTGGTGTTCGTTCAACATGAGGTGATGAGTTTTGCTCCTTTGCTAATTGGGCTAACTTTGGGAGTTAAATGAGCTCTTTATGGAGAAGGTAAAGGTCATGAATGTGCTGTGGAGTAACTGCTATCCGTCCTAATGAGCTGGCAGGGAGTGGAGGAAACTTCCTTCTGCATTTGACAGACAGCTGCTTCATTAGCATTCATTCAAAAGATGATCCCTGCGAGGTTAATTGAAACGCTACAGGGAGATGACCAATTGTTCTGTTTATGACGCCCGGGAGAGAGCGCCGACTCCCAGTCATAATTGATTCCTGACTTGAGCTTTTCAGCGTCACCGCTATGGATTTCACATTGCGGGGTCCCCAAGGAGACGCTTTCGCCCCTCGACGAAGCCACTTGACGTTTTCTAAAACTCAATTAGGCAAGAGACCGCGATGTGTAAGTGGATTTGTAATGCTGTTCATCGCCGCCGACGCATGTGACGGACACTATTGAGTTTGAAGTGGAAGTGGAGGCGTGATGGAGAATCGTTTGGGTTTCGCATGGCAGCCTCACTCTTAAGTTGGGGGAAGACTTGATGGCTTGTATAAATCAACAGTGTGACTTTCTGCTGCTTTGTATTCAAGAGGGGGGTACTTTAATAGCCCTAACTAAAAGTGGCCTGTTTTCGAAAATGTTGTTGTTTTGACTTTTATTTTATATATGCATATATAAATAATCTTGTGAAATAATGCATTTTTAACTAACTTGTAAAGTTTGATAGAGACTTCAAATGAATTTATGACTTCGAAATTAATTTTCAAAAATCTATATTTCTTTATTTTGAAAAAAAGTTTAACACAAAATACATTACTTTTGACAAGCATGATTATTTGTCCATCTGAAAAAAAATTGAATTAAAAAAATTGGAAAACATTAAAGTAAATCTAAAATCTAATTTACTTGAATTAATTTTGAAAAATATTTTCTTTGGAAAACCTTTCTTTTAAAAAGTGGAGATTTTTTTTTTTTGTTCATTTTGATTATTTGGCTCATTTACTTCAAGACAGAGGTCATCATTCAGTTCCACACAAGCAACCAAATTCGTAATGCTCAATGAATTTCCGTTCCTCCTGCTGCTGCAGCCAATTTGTTTAAGAACCTGGATCTTCAATCTTCGCACATAGGCCTATTCATTTATTACGACGTCATGTTAATAATGCCAGTTAATTTCATACATCAGACTGGCTGCCGCCATCCATCTCCACCAAAATGTTTATCCGTACCGCGGCACCCTCGGAAGCCATTTTCTCTCAAATGGTCGCCCACCAGCAGAGAAGGCTTATTATGTATATATTAGAAGAAATTCGGTCCAGTGAAGCCCCGTTGATTGCGGGGTCTGCGTTCCAGACCCACATGTGAAAGAATGACCATACGACAAACTTTTTGCAAAGACTACCGTAATTTCTGGACCATAAACCGCTACATTTGTCACACGCTTTCAACCCTGCGGCTTATTGAATGAAGCGGCCTGTTTAAAGATTTTTCCAACGGCCGCCAGGAAGCGCTCGATCAGAAAAGATAACAGTGAGATGCTACCATGTGTCACAGTGAAAATAACCAGCCACGAGAGGGCCCACTTCACCTGTGTTTTTAGCTGAACTGCAATCCGAAAGCTGTGTGGCTGAGTCTATGACAGACTTGACCGAACACAAAATAATTTTCTTGAAGGCTTTATTCCCGACTGAAAGTGTACAGCATTAATAAAAGACCGAGGTATGCCAAATGGGACCAACAAATAGAAAAGTATACAAAAATATACAACAGTAGTGGCTTGTGAGCACTTGTATGTGCCAAAACACATGGAAAACACCTAATCTCCCTTGCTTCAAGGCTGTTCACATGACCCACTGTGTGACACCGTTCAAACTCCCAAACGACGATATTTTACTCTTCATATCAGTCGGGTTACAATGCCGATTGCAGATCCATCAGGTCTGAATAAGCACACCTCAGCGTTCGTTTCACAAGATTTCCCATGAGATTATCCAACGCTCCTTTTAAAGTGACATTGCTCCATTTATTAAATGAGGCAGCATTAACTACAACAGTCATAGTATTTGTTTACCTGGTTACATATGCCAAAAGACACCTCCCGAAAGATATTGTCTTGAAAGTTGACATGAAAGCGTGGATGGTAGAAAGCATAATGAAGGAATGGTTGAACGAGTGTTACGGCAGGGAACGGTGCCCTTTTTTTTTTTTCAAACCAGCCGTGTGAGTGCTGTTTTAGTGCCGTCGTGCTGTAGCGTTAACAGGCAAAGAAAAGTTAAGATTAAGTTATTAAACATTGAAACCTCTTTCTGTGTACCGTTTTTCTTCACAAATATCTCATGTTATAATATGGGCACCTGCGGCTTATAGACAGGTTGTGTCTGTACAAAATGTTTTTTCCTTAAAAAAAATGTAGTGGGTGCAGCTTATAATCAGATGTGCTCTGTAGTCTGGAAATTACGGTAAATCTATTCACGCACACTTTCCAAAGACATTTTAAACATATTTGGGATCTTTCTTAATGGCTGGGGAAGACGACAGTATTGAAGTTTTATCGTAGTTTTAGTACACAGCGGCTCATGTATTTTTGAGGATGTCCAAATCTAAACTCATATTTGCAAAAATGCCCAGATACTATTACATTGATACCTACTTCACCAGCCACCAACCTTCTGCCTGGAAGCCAAATGGTTATTCCTGCAACTGGCATATCTCCAATATATAATCACAAATACTAAGCCATGCATGTGTACTGTAAAAACAACTGTTCAGTAAAACGGCAGTAACTCATTAATGTAATGGTTCTTTTGATTGCTGCGCCGTTGCTTGGCAATTCTAGTTAATACAGTGCACTCTTCAAAATTAAAACATGAAATGTGTGGAAAGACTGTTTGAAAAACATGCAGTAGGCATGTGTCGGTAATGACATCTTTTTACTCGAAAAATGGTGTGAGTGAAACATGCCATGTTTATGAAAAATTTGTATTAATTGAATCTGATAAAACATATTTCCATCACAATTGTAAGATGTAATAAAATTATCAAGTGTTTGTATTTGGTATCGGTGATGACTCAAATCAAAATTTCTATCAGTGCATTCCTAATATTTTGACACTTCTGTGTACGGTTAAGGTCAAAATGTTACTTAAAAAGTTGCCTCGGTGGTTAATTGTTTTCAATTAGCTTTATAGCAACTTAAATGCTAGAGAGGGTCACAATTTTTCATCAGTGCTTCTGGGGGGCCGGGGTGGGGGGGCACATAGGAACACGCGCTTCCTAATGTGATACACGACAAAAATGCTGTTTTAAATCTGGAGAAAATACTTGCTCTTAACATATTTCATTGTTAGAAAGACCTTTTATAAATGTGTGTATTTAAGATCCCCTATCCTGACACAACAACAAAGGGGTTGAAAGAAATTACCCCATCTTAATAAATAAATAATCTGAATGCAAAGGGCTCTCTTGCTTAAAAACCAACATTCAAAGACAGTACAAAAATGTTGAAGCAAACACCAACATGGAAGGCAAGAAATCAATTTGTACATTTTTTCACAAAAATCAACTCACTCAGAATTGTAAGATTATTGGGGGCCGGGAGGGTTGAATATCGTCACAGTTGCCCATCCCTGCTTTACATTATTTCCACGGGGGGAAAATTATTGTAAAGCATGCTTGTTTCCCCCTCCCCCTGTCCTTTTGCATCCATACTTTAGTCTCAGTATGTGGGCATGCATGTGAGTGGCGGCGCCTGTCTCAGAGCTACCTGGTTCACGACATGCTTATTGGATGACGCCTCCAGCTCCGCGATGTGATTGAAGTGTCTGCTTGGAATTTCACAGTTTGAGAGCAAAACAGCCTGCTGCGTGTGTAGGAGTGTGGGAGTGCATGTACACTACGTGCGTGTGTGTGTGTGTGTGTGTGTGTGTGTGTGTGTGTGTGTGTGTGTGTGTGTGTGTGTGTGTGTGTGTGTGTTTGCGCAGACAGTGGCCTTGCTGGGTGATTGACGAGCGGCTGGCGAGCTGCATGAAGGCCCTGTCAGTAGCGCTATGTCGCAGTGTGCCTGCAGTGCGCGTTGTCTGCATTCTATCCGTATGGAGCTCAAAGCATGAGTGGATGAGGCGAGCTCAAGGCTTTTCTTCACCCTACTCACGTCATGAATGGATGGACTCGAGTGCACCGGTCACTAGATGATCCATATTAAAGTCTTTTTTCGCGTCAGTAAATTTGGTAGGTTTTACAATGGAAACACTTTGACCCTGGAGCAGTCGAATTATTTCCCATGGGGATTAATTATTTCTTAAAACCACAGGAAAACACATTATTTCTACCTACCAAAAGCCAAGGATGATTTTTTTATTTCATCTTCTGAAACTCCAAACTTATTTTTTTAGTTTTGTATTTAAAGATTAATCTTCAAACTCAAATGTGTACTTTTCATAGTTTTTTTTGTTTTTTTAAGAATCCCCTAATAAATCCATCCATCCATTATCTGAGCTGCTTATCCTCACAAATGGGATGGGTGTGCTGAAACCTATCCCAACGGTCTTCGGGCGGTAGGTGGAGTACACCCTGAACTGATTGCAACTTCAACGTGACCTCGTGTTTGCGATTCTTCACAGCAGCCCATTAGTGTGACTGCCACATTCCCAAGCCCACCAGTACATGAAGGTCCAGATGGTCATGGCAGCCATTCCTGGAGAACGTCGTCATGGTTTAGGCATAGAAGGCAAAGGACCCCAAAAACGGAGAGGCAGGAGGAGCAGGATGGGCTGAACAAAATGTATTAAAAACACTTGCAGGGGTGCACTGGAAAAACTAAATCATAAAACATCAGCAAAGTCCTGGAAACCACAAGAAACCAAAGTAACAAACGAACGAACCTGGACAAGACACAAAGGGTTGAGGGAGCTGATTGGTTAAACACAAGCCGAATGACGAGAACAGGTGGAGAAAAAAAGGGCACATGACGGAACAAAACCAAATGTCATCTAAACAAAATCAAAACAAACACGCACCACCTGGTTGCCTAAAAACTTTTTTGTTGCCATCTTTGGATGCCTTTTGTATATAATTTGCACTGTGTGCGCCTATTCCATTCAATTCCTTTGATATGAAACATTTTTTGGGCTGCTGGATTAACGAAAATTAATCCCCGCCTCGTGTACCCTATGCATAAATGCATTTGATTAATATCAGTGCTCCACTTGGAAATGTGCTGTGTGTGATTTGGTGATTTGCCAACACCACGGGGTAAAGATTTTTTTTTTTTTTTAAAGTTTCAAGTCAGGTGCTAGACGTTGTGCTTTGTCTGCTTGCTGACAAAAGGTTGCTCAAAATCGATAAGAAGAAAGAAAAAAAAAAGTCAATGACCCCCTAATGCTTCCCTCGCTCATTTATATGCGTGATTTGTGTACACTCAAACGTACAGGACCAAAGGCAAACAAACGAAAGCATTGATCGTGCTCTAAATACGCCACTAAAGCTTACCCAAGAGGAGATACTAATGGAATACTAATAGTTTATTCAATTATACTGTAAATTTCAAGCTGACAGGACTTGGCTCAGTTCTTAGTTTAAAATCCACCATATAGTGTAGACACCATATTAAAAACACTTTGTTTTATGGTCCCACCCCCCCCAACCTCCCCGCAAATGCTTTAAAAAGATTTAATGTTATTAAAACATACTCCTCACACCTCATGTAAATGAAGACCCCTTAAATTTGCAAGCATAAAATGAACAGAAAATTAGGTACAAATTGTAGTGTTTGTATTTTATGTACATTGAAGCCTGAATGACATCAGCGAGTCTGCATGTGAAAGGCTTAAGCTATGGCTGACAGCAACTGCCTTAAGCACGTTTACCACTGAGGGGGCGAACGTGTGCAAAGGTAGCGAATGCACGTTCATGTCAGGGTTCGCTGGCGGTCGCAAACGTTCACCAAATATTTCCCAGACATTCCCCAGATGTTAAGGAACAACTTCAAAGTTTTTTTCTTCACAAAAACATTTTAAAGGCGAACGTCTGGAAAACCTTTGGTGAATGTTTGCGACCTTGAACGAACCCTGACAAGAATGCAACATTCGCTACCTTTGTTCATGATGTTTTAATGTGTGTAGGCGCGACTGTGGCTCTTCTTGTCCACACGTCAGGGCAATACAAAAGTGTACTGTAAAAATCTATAAAAACCTGCACAAATGCGGATTTTTGCATAGCGTGGATTTCTGCGGCAGACAGATACGTTACACAAAATATGGTACGACGGATGACCGAAGGCCTCATCAAGACTTCATTTGAAATATGACTAGAGGAGGTTTGTCACAATTTGAATTTTGACCTTGTTACGAATTTAATTTAACTTTGGGCAGTCCCTTGAGACTAAGGTCAGTCGTGTGTGTGTGTGTGTGTGTGTGTGTGTG